TTGGGCTGATATTTGCGAAGAATGAGGAGACAGGGCAGGATTGTATTGGCTACGTGGATTCAGACTATACCAGAGATCTTGACAAGCGTCGGTCCACTACAGGTTATGTTTTTACATTGGCTAGTGCACCGGTGTGTTGGCGATGCACTCTTCAGTCTACAGTGGCGCTTTCTACTACGGAGGCGGAATATATGGCGGTGACTGAAGCAGTGAAGGAGGCTTTGTGGCTACATGTTGGGTGACTTGGGGATTGCACAGGAGACCATTCAGGTATATTGTGATAGTATGTCAGCTATCTATTTGGCGAAGAACCAAGTTTACCATGCACGCACAAAGCACATTGATGTCAGATTTTACTTTGTACGTGACGTATTAGATGATGGTGATGTCACGTTGGAGAAGGTCCACACTAAGAATAACCCTGCTGATATGTTTACCAAAGTTGTATCAGGTGTGAAGTTTGGTCACTGTTTGAATTTGTTGAATATTCTTCATTGTTGAGGCCGTTGGCGGCCATTTGGATGAACTACGTTCGGCTTGATTCCTTGGGCAAGAGGATACGTAGGCAGTCTTTAGATGCAGCCGGTTTGATCAGTTGATCAAGATGGGGGGAGATCGTGTTTCAGCTCGAGTATTGTTCCTGGACACCCGTTTCTTTTGAGAGTTGTATTTAAATCCTAAACTCATTTCTAGGGTTAAGCTTTGGCGATTTTGAGCTGCTGAAAGGGGATTTCTAGGGCTTCTTTTGTTGGAGTCTATTAGAGAGATCAATTGGTCTTGTTTGAGGGTTTTGGGTAAGATTTGTAACCCTAATTTGTATTCCCCCTTTGATTTCATTAGTAAAGCTTCCCCCTCCTTGCCCCGTGGACGTAGGCACATTGCCGAACCACGTATATCTGTGTTCTTGCTGTGATTGGTTGGCTTGTGTTCACTTGTGGTCTACTATTGTTCTTGTGTGTGCTTTTTGATTTGGCTATTTGGGGCTTCCGCGGTGCACAACATGAGTCTCATCATGATTAGGAGTTTGAATCCTATTTTAATTAGGAAGTTAGGCTAGAGATAGGGTTTTGGTTTTCTTATATATATTCTTCTATTGTTGGAGGAAAAACCAATGAGAAGGGAGGTAACCAATATTCTTATAATCTAGAGTTAGCAGAGGGTGTAGCTTGATTCAAGAATATTGTGCAAAGAGAGAGAGAGAGAGAGAGAGAGAGAGAGAGAGAGAGAGAGCGCCAATATTCTTGTAATATAGGGTTAGCAAAGGACGTAACCTGATTCAAGAATATCGTGTGAGAAGCAAGGGTTTCGATGTCATTGTCCGTGCAAAGATTACATCATTGGGAGAGGGTTTCGTAGTCTTTGTCCATTCAAAAGATTGTAAGGACAGGGCTTTGGAGATAATATAAGAGTTGATTATGTATGTGAGGTTGAGAGATTGAGAGACGAGAGTTGAGTGGTTCCTCTTGTAGTTATCCCTGATACATAGTGGATTTCTCGTATTGTTATCCCGTGGACGTATGTCGAAGTTAGTCGACCGAACCACGTAAATCTCGGTGCTCTTTCTTCTTGATTGTGGTTATTTTATATCTTGTTGATTGTGGGTTGGCTTCCAAGTTGCTCATATTGTAGTAGGCGGGGAGAGTAAAATTCTCCAACAAGTGATATCAGAGCCATGATGATGGATCCAAGAGAGAGTTCTTATGATAGATGTCATACAAAAGTAAAGATTTGCGGCGTTACAAGAATCAAGATGAAGAAAAAGAAAAACAAGAAGGGTTTGGAGGCAGATTTCGATAATCCAGGAGTTGATTCCTAGGTTTTGGAGTGCTCTGAACGCGATGAGAGTGTCTTATTTTTTAGATTATGCTCAGAGTAGTCAGAAAGTGTAGAAAAAGTTCTGACGCTGATAACGAGACAGATCTGATGGCAGATAGGGCAAACGAATATGTGATGGATGAGACTGGTGTAGAGAATCAAACGTGATTCTAACAGTAGAATTGTTAGCATATAATTGTTCAAAGTCATCGCAGGAGCAAGAGTTGGGTGGTGTGTAGACTCGAGGAAGGCAGTACCAGATTAGATGGAGCTTACAAGCGGGTACGACCAAGTAACACACATGGAGATGAAGATTGTAACATTGGACGTGAAGACGATGAGCGCTCATATTCGGTTCAAGCCAAGTAATGGAGGAAATAGAGGTATCCGACTCGTAGTGTAGAGTAAAAGAGGTGCACTCATATGATTCGAGACGAGTGATGCAGGTAGAGTAAGAGGACAGCAAGTGGGGGAAGGCTACTGTCAAGTTCAGTTCGGGAGGAGAAGTATGGTTGATTTGCTTCTAATGTCAGAGGTGGTGAAGATCTCTTTGTGTACACAAGAGAGGTGGAGGCACCACAGCGAAACAGATGATAGCGAGGGTCACGGGACGTCCCAGTTAGAGTGCAGGTGCTTTGATTTGAAGTGCGAAAGGAATAAAAGACGCTAGCAAGAGAGGTAAAGTTTCAAGACGACAATGATAGATCTTTGAGGTGGCTTGGGAATCAAATCCAAGGTGGAGATTGTTAGGATTGTGTCTTTGATTCTTTGTATAATTTCATGAGAATTAGATAGGGATGGACATCTATCATGATTAGGAGATTGAGTCTCATCATAATTAGGAGTTTGAATCCTATTCTAATTAGGAAGTTAGGCTAAAGATAGTGTTTTGGTTTTCCTATATATATTCTTCTATTGTTGGAGGAAAAACCAAGCGGAAGAGAGAGAGAGAGAGAGAGAGAGAGAGAGAGAGCCAATATTCTTGTAATCTAGGGTTAGCAGAGGACGTAATCTAATTCAAGAATATTATGCGAGATGCGAGGGTTTCATAGTCTTTGTCCGTGCAAAAGATTTCATCATTAGGAGAGAGTTTTGTAGTCTTTGTCCGTTCAAAAGATTGTAAGGAGAGGGCTTTGGAGATAATATGAGAATTGATTATGTATGTGAGGTTGAGAGATTGAGAGAGACGAGTGTTGAGTGGTTCCTCTTGTAGTTCTCTCTGATACATAGTGGATTTCTCGTATTGTTGCCCCGTGAACGTAGATTGAAGTTGGTTGACCGAACCACACAAATCTCAGTGCTCTTTCTTCTTGATTGTGGTTGTTTTATATATTGTTGATTGTGGGTTGGCTTCCAAGTTGTACATATTGTAATAGGCGGGGAGAGTAAAATTCTCCAACAACATCATCATATCAACAAAAAATTTAGTGAAAAACCAAGTTTTTCTTGCCATATTACTGTCACATCAATAAATAAATAGCAACATTACAAGTTTGTATCAGAGTTAAAATTTCACTAATCCTTTCGCTGGCATGGTAGTGATACGTTATCACGACATTAGCAAGATTTGATAGAATTTGTAAAAAGAACCTAGGTTGATGACAGAGCTAATGTTTGGAATCCCCAATAACTTCCAAACATGAAGGACAAAAGTGATATTTCTACATTCTGCCATCAAACTATAAATAAAAACAAGAGGAAGCTAAAAAAGGGATGCCAATTGAACAATGTCAACTATCACATTAATTTTAACATTCTTTCTCATGCATGGAAATTTACGTTTTGAACTCATGATCTCTTGAAACCTGACGTACTTACAAGATCGCTTTATTCTTAAGCTTCTTCATATCCCACGATAGTAAGTTGACACATCAACAAAACAAGCTTATTTATATCCCATGATTGTAAGTTGACACATCAACAAAACAAAACCTATATGGGAGCAGGTAAGATTTGGTCATAAAGAAGGAACCCTTAGTTGAGAGAGACAATCATCTTCCCACTTATCAACTAACAACATTATTAAAGCAACATTATGAAGAGGGATAATTGAAATCACTTTTTTCAGAAGTTTTGCCTCAATAGATCATTGCAACATTGAATTTGACAACATTACGGCCGAGGATTTGAATCACGCGCATATAATTACAGCCAAAAGGTAGCTATAAAAACTTTCAATCAAACATATATGGACAAATTTTTAAAATAAACCGTTTTTTATTATTAATAGGCAAAATCGACCGCATTCTAAAAAAAACGGCAAAATCGACCGTCCCAATCCCTCGCTCTCTCTCTCTCCTCACCTTCTCTCTCTCCTCACTCACCTGTCTCCCTCCTCCATCCCTCAAGCCGGCTCGCACCGGCAACAACTGGAAGTCTGATCGCCGCCCACCTCCCCTGCTGGTACCCGAAAGCGCCTCTGCAAGGGTGGGAGTCTTAGAGAGAGGAAGCCAGAGGAGTAGCATTGCACACACGCAGCAGAGCGCTCGCTGGCGGGGGCGGCGGGGCAGGAGGCGGGCTTATTGTTTCGACGACCAGCAAATATACGAGCCGGATCCTGCGAGATGAGGAAGTTCAGCGGGGCTGTTTCTTATTTGGGCGGCGGAGCGGAGGAGCGACCGTGGGGGCTGAGGAGGGTGGAGATGCAGGTGGAGGGAGAGAGGGAGAGGCGAAGGAGGGAGAAGGCGGGGGAGTTCGAAGCCAGGATCAGGGCTCTGATCAGGGGAGTTCAGGAGGAAGCCGTCGTCAGTGCGGATGCGGCCGCCAACGGAGTCAGAAGAGTCGTGGAGGAGGAAGGGGACGGAGGAGGAGTGGAAGTGGGTGGCTGCGGCGAGGCTGGAGAGGTCGGCGCCTATGGTGATGGCAGTGGGAGAAAGATGAGGACGAGGGAGAAGAGGGGGCGGCTTGAGGGAGGAGGAGGGAGACAGGTGTGTGAGGAGAGAGAGAAGGTGAGGAGAGAGAGAGATTGGGACGGTCGATTTTGCTGTTTTTTTAAGAATACGGTCGATTTTGCCTATTAATAATAAAAAACGGTTTATTTTAAAAATTTGTCCAACATATATTGGTATTGCGCGTATATAGAAATGGCCACAAGGTAGCTATAAAAACTTTCAATCAAACATATACACAATTCACTGGGATTTCCCTCCATTACATCCAACCCATAGCAACGTAATAAACCAAAATTTAATGTGTAAGAGAATTTTATTACCAGTCCTAATAATAACAAAAGCAATAGCACCAGCTCATATTTTACTGATATTTCAGAAATAGACTGACATTGCAGAAACTAACTACTATTTTACTAGCCATATATACAAGAAAAGTTTACTACATAAGCCATAACAATTTGATTGAAATTTTTGATGCGTTCTGTTAGTATCAAATGGAGCGCCAACATGAACAAAGTTTGCTCTCCCGCAAACGTGATCCCCAAAAAATTATCCAAAAGACAAAAGTTAAGCACCTAACCCATCATCATCACTGCCGCTTATGGTGAAATCTCACCTTCAACAGAAACTGCATCTTAACCTGTCAAGGATTCCACTATAATGGTCAATAATGAAAGGTTAACCACAAAAAATCAAGAAGTTAACGTGAAAGATTGAAAATGAGGGAATGTGCAAAGAAACATAGATGTAGTCAAAACTAACCTGAGCTGTATTATAAACAATGTACTCATTATATAATAGCTCAGACCCTCTAATATTTGAAGGCACAGGCTTCCCACAAGGCACAATCACGTCTCTCCACTTCTCAAACTCCGATTCCAGAGGTACAGTCTTTCCGAGTCCCTTGGTTGAATGCTTACCCCTTGGTGGCTTATCCATATACTGTCATGAGATTATAAGAACATATTAGTGCAAAATAGCTGACATAACTAATACACATGGGGATGATGAAAAGGAGCCCAAAACCACACAGACACGAGAAACACATAAAACATAAATAACGCATAACCAGAAGCAACCAAATGATGGGTGAAAAAGACAGAAAATTTTATAGAAAAAATCATGACCACAAGCATGAAGTTCCCTTCTAGTTGTGTCAAGTAAATATGCTTATGGGAGATATTGGATATTAATTGCCAGCTCATTAAACAAAATGAGCTATCAAGTGAGGTGTGGTGACTCTACCTACTCCGATGATGCGAGTAGCAAGATGAGCCTTATCACCAGTCTATCTCATGATAGCTCATTTAGCATCACCAGTCTATCTCATGATAGCTCATTTAGCAAGATAGTTGCCACCTCACATCAGCGTGTCTGTCGTGTTTGATATGAGATGCTACCTCATTTAGCAAAATGAGTTGCCTAAAGATAGGGAAGTAATGAGGAACCTGCTCTGATGATCATGTGACTAGCAATGGGCGCGGTGTTGTGCCAGACTCACATTCATATATAATATATATATATATATATATATATATATATAGAGAGAGGATGAGAGAGGAAGAGAAATATGGGTATGCCTTCGGTACCAATCACGTTAAATATTGTGCTTTGTAGTGAGGTGCGCACAAGTCTTCCTCCCATCTACATTCACATAGCGGGCACTACTATTCACATGGCGTTGCAGGAGCATGGGCAATATGCAACCATTTGAATGAGCTGAGAGATTATGCCACTTACTACTTTTTGTACTTCGGGGTACCAGAGCCATTACCCATGTTTTCTCTATATATATTATATTATATATAAATATATATATATATATATATTATACTATATATATATACCTATAGAGAAAAATGGGTTATGCTTCAGTAACGAAGCCACACACACTTTTATTTGCTTGGTAGTGAGGTGTCGCATTCCCCTCCACTCATTAAAATCGGGGCCCACACTCACATAGGTTAAGGAGTTGTTAGGAATGACAATGAGTGGATGGAATTGAGACACCTCACTACCAAGCACCAAATTTGTGCTTGGTACCAAACATACCCATTTCTCTCTCTGAGAGAGAGAGAGATAGAGTGAGAGAGAGAAATGGGTATGTTTGATACCAAACACAAGTTTTTATACTTGATAGTGAAATGACATATTCCCCTCCACTCATTGAAATCGGGGCCCACATTCACATAAGTTGAGGAGCGGCTGG